GTCTGTATGTTCCCTGGCCATTTCTGCATTCCTGTAGAATTTCCTTTCTAATTTCTAGAAAAGTTCTGTATATTAATCTTTTGTATTCCGCCTCTGGTAATTCCAAGAAATTCTCTTCTTCCAGAGAATTTATTGATTCTTTATTTTGGAAGCTTGCTGAAGCCATCATGGACTGCCTCTTTATGTGATTTCATATTGACTGTTGTCTCCGAGCCATCAGTAAGTTTTTATAATTTTATTTTGTATTTGTTTAGTGAGTCCTAGCTTCTTGTTTTGTTTTGATATGCCCCAATAAGCTGCTCGTGTGTGCTACTTTGATTATTGACACCTTTGAAGATTTAACGTCCTGTCACCAGGAACTTAGTTCTGAAACTGAGTGTGTGCACACAGGAGTCCATCAAATTTTCCTGTATGGGTTCAGCTCAGGTGTCCAGGCAGTTGGTCACCAAGTGTGTGGTGTAGGCTCTCACCTACAGTCCTAGAGAGGCATGGGTGATTGGTGCAGGCACTGGTATCTGGCTGTGGTAGGGGATCACGTGCTGAGCCAGACAGGGGGCTGACGGCTGCCCCTGAGAGTCTGAAAGGAAAGCGTGTCCATATTCCCTAAGGCGAGTCAATAGGTGAGTTTGCAACCAGACTATGAGCACCCCACTCTGTTGGGTGTAAGACTCGAGGGCAACACTTTTTCTTGGGATCCTGTAGCAGGTGAGTAGGTGGCTTAGGTGACGCCACCAGTCCTCAAGCCCCTGTTGCAGATTAGTAAAAGTGCCTACTTAAGGGGCAGGGCTGTTTCAAGTGTCACAAATCTGCCACTTAACAGCTGAAACAGTTGAAGTTAAACTTCAGATGTTTGCCCTGTTGTACTGTGGTAGTGAGGGCTGTTGAGATGGGTCCCCTCAGGTCTATACAGGGGTGTAAGGCACTCAGAGTCTGTGGACCCATTATGCCTGTGCCTAGCAAAGGAGCTGTGCTGACTCTGAGTTCCTGGCTTAGGGGAGCCAGTAGCTTATTTGTTCCTTCTCCAAGGCCAGGAGAATGGGTCAGGGTACCTTTTGGGATCTACTTCTGGCCCAGCAGACTCTCTGTGCAGAGCCCGGTGGGAGGAGGTAAAAGGGAGAGAGGTTTTTCCCAAATGGGCTTTGTTTTTAAAT